ATCTCTCGACCCGCTGGGAAGATTTAAAATAGATGCAAATTTAGAAAATTTAAATTCGCAGCAAAGAAGAAAATTAATAGCTCTTATCAATAAACACCGAGCTCTATTGACAGGAAAAGTGAAAATAGCTAAAGTTGAAGCTCATAAAATTAGATTTATACCCAATATGCAGAGGAAGAACCTTACATTTATAGGATTCCTGAAGCATTGAAAACCAAGGTCGACGAAGAGGTAGAAGAATTATTGAAATCGGGACTAATAGAAGAATGTAACGGAGAAATAACTCATCCAGTAGTTTGTGTAAGCAAAAAAAGATGGAAATATTATATTGTGTCTAGATTATCGAGCAGTGAATGCAGTGACGAAGCCAGGTGACTTTCCTATGAAAAACGCCATTGATTCAATGTACAGTATAGGAAGAGCCAACGTCATAACGACTTTGGATTTACTGAAAGGGCAATTCCCATGGAGAAACAAAGGAGTACACATCGTTCAAACCTCATCGAGGTCAATATCAGTTTAAAGTGCTACCCTTTGGACTAAGGAACGCAGCAGCAACTTTCAGAGTGAATAAATAACGTGCTGAAGAATTTCACAATTTTCAAGAGCCTATATTAACGACATAGCTATATTTTCCACAGATTTCGACATCATCTCCAAGATCTGGATAAAGTTTTCACCAAACTAAAGTCACTGATTTACTATCAATCTGAAGAAGGTTAGTTTGCAAAACCTCAAATTAAATATTTAAGACACATTATTGGAAGGAAAACATCAACCATCCCAAATAGGCAATCAGAAGCTGGAAATGCCGAAAACGAAAAGAGATCTTAAAAGTCTAGTAAGATTATGTAATTATTATCGCGATTATATCCAGGGTATGCAGAGATCGCCTACCCACTCGCAGAACTCACGAAAAATAAACAACCAGAAATACTCGAATGGAAAGAAATTCATGAGTAAACATTCAACAACTGAAGGAACATTAGCGATTCAACGGAATTGATCACACCAACACTGAGGATCCGTTTGTCATTCATTCTGTTGCATCCCAAATCGGAATAGGTGCTGTTTATCACAGTAAGGGAGAGAAACAATTTCCCATCTGCTACGCTGAGCAGAAATATTGAAACGTCAACAAAGCTGGCCGAATAGAGCGTGAAGCTTATGCTATGGGATGGGCATTAAAAGTTCGACCTTTGATATTCGGTTCATCGTGAAAATTATTACTGATCATAATCCTCTAGCCTTTATAATGAGAAATGCTTGCAATGTCCAATTACAATATGGACCATCTTGCAAAAATATAATCTTGAATAGAACATTGCCCTGGAAAAAACTGTCGAACGCAGATGCATTATCCAGACTCCCCACCTGTGAACTTTGAACATTAATTTACTGTCTCTTCACGACATTTTGTATGTTAATGATTAGATAGTTTTTCTTTGGCTTTTCTTAATTTTTACAATTTGTGCAAATTTTGCTTCAAATTACATCACGTTTATGTAATTGAAATAGAAAAATTATTCGATACATATATTTGAGGTAAGTGGAATTTAGATATTTGTCTCCCAAGGATATAAACATGCTGCAGCATCTTAATTAAGAGATTATTAGATATAATTTTATATATATAAAAGCTTAATATTTTCTGTCATCAATGAAAATTACTAGGGTATTTTAACATGTTTAAAGAAAAATACCACTTGTTCTTTGGTTAAGAATGATAATGTTACAATAATAATGTTCAGAACGTGGGGTGAAGTTAAAAGTGTTATCTATGTTTATATATGTGTCTGTAGTAAATGATGTGCAATTGAGGTCCGTATGCAATGTCTATAGTAGCTGAGATTTGAAAATTAGGGTCGAATGTATAAATGCATATGTAGTTTTTTTTTTCTTTTTCTCATTGATCGCAAACAGTTGCTAGATTTTAGTTCCCAGATTGATGATTGATTTGTAAATAGTATCAACAACCACCTTAGGACAGGGGTGTGATATCTGGCGACTGTTTGGTGATCAACAGAGCGTGCTTGGCGCATGTAGCTCTTCTCCAAGAAGGGTTTTAAGAGAGTTGCATGTTAGCCTTGGAAGAGAAAGGTTGTAGATTTTACCCTGCGGTAGGAGCAATGTACTGCTCTGAGTTACTGTTATGCTTTGAACCATATTTTTAATAAATGTTCGTTTCGTCTTGCTAAATGGTGCCTTATTAAACCACAAAGTCATCACAGTCGGCACGATCACCAGATCTTTCCCTAATAAAACATAGTTGGGCTCTAAAGAGCAGGCCAATCCACCTAGAAAAAGGAACAACGATCCCTAGATCATGCCGATCTAACTCACCAATTGGAAAGTGTAGGGTAAGCAATCTTGCAAGACATCTGCCAACTTTATGGGGTTGACAGCTGGATAAAAGCTTGTGTCAGGACCAGTGGTTGGTCAATGCATCACTGATCTTTCTTTACTCCTGTAACTGTATTTCCTGAATAGAACATGATATTGTTACCATTTCGTTTTCAATACGTGTACATCATTCAAATTTTCATCCCATTTAGATTATTCCTTCTTCATGTGTCACTTCTTATGTTGTACAGTGTATAACTTAAATATTCTTTATTGAATAAACATGCAGATTATATCTCATTTCTAACATTAAAAAGAGAAATTCACAACTTTGAAGAAATTTATTAAATTTAAATTACTTTAGTTTAAAAAAATCTTACCTGGAAGAAATAACAAAATCTTCGTCTACTGCTACACTGAAGATAACATCTGCATGACCCACTAACTGTGTCACTTCTAAATCAGATGATGTTATATTTTCAATCTCAAAATCTTTTGGTTTCTTCTGTGGTTTCAGTACTTTTTCAATGAATTCTTTTGTTGTCATATCATGAGCAGATACTTCCTGACTAGATGATGATTGCTCCTGAGGTACCGACTGCTGAACTAATTTTTCTGATGAAAAATCACTTGAAGTGAATTTTTCAGAACTTTTAATCTTTATATCTGCATTTTCAGATTCATTTTCATCAGTCTGAGAGGATAACTGATCAGTGTTTTCTTTTGTTGGTTCTCCTTGCATTAGTGAAGATGACACACTGTTATCTGTATGCAAAAATGTGTTGTTGGCATGTGAAGAAATTTTGATTGTTTGTTCTTGTGATACTGTTTGAAGATTTCTGTTAGTTTGTTCTTGTGATTGATTATTACTAATTTGAGTACTTTCACATAAGTCATCAGATTCAGAATTTGCAGATGAGCCATTAAGCAAATTTTCATTGGAATTTTTAGAAAAGTTATTAAAATCACTTTTATCTATGTCAAATGAACCATTTTCACACATATTATTCAACAAATGATCCTCTTTCTTTATTGTACCATTATTTAAAAAAGTATCTTCAACTGAAGCTATGCATTCCATAGATTCTTTGATGCTACTGCTACAACCTGTGATAAATAAAATAATATTAACATCAGTAAAGTGTCAATCAAAAGTCATTTTTATCAACATGCAAGTTATTAATAATTTTGTATTCAAATCTGTTACATAAACGCTCGTTATAAGGTTAAATTATAAATTAAAGTGAAAAGAGCAGTGAGAAGCAGAAAAAGGAATGGAAGAGGAGGAACAAACTTCATTACTTTAAAAGCCTCTTTATTTAAATACACAATTAATGCTTATTAAAATACTTAAACATTTCAGATAAAAATTGTTAAAGTGTAAAATCTAAACCATTCTTAAGATTCTTTAATTAAAACATGAAGAAAAAGTGTTCAAGACATTACTGTTCGGACTTCTGCATAATTCTGAAATACAGAATTAAAAAAAAAAAACTGATAATAAATCAAATTACTATTTAAGAAAAAAAATCTGAAAGCTTTCAGATTTTATATTACGTCCAAAGAGGCTTTTTTAACGATTTTTGCATTACCTTTATTTATTAAATATCATGATCTTCGCACTTAAACCATAAAATTCAATTCAACAGCAATATCACAAAATATTTAAAACAGCATATCTTTAAAATTTCCTATACACAGCCTCGAACGCAGGAGATAATTTTTTTCTTCCGTACAGTGTTGCCATTGCTCACTTTGAAATCATTGAGTTTCTTAATCAAAAACTCATAAATGCTTTACAAAATATGAAGTATATAATAAAACATAAAATATAAATTTGGGCTTCCAGATGCTTATATTCGTTTGGAGACATATGTTGTTCAAAATTTGATGGCACCAGGTACCATTGTTTTATCACAATGTGAGAAATAACGCATACATTTATGCTGATTCTTCATTATTAAATTTCTTTAAATATAATACAGAGCTATAATACTTGGTGGCAACAATTTAAAAAGTGATTCGCTGTTTATAGTGAATCAACATGAAACTGCTAAAATGAAATTAATAGCCCTTCTGGGCAAATTGGCCCTTTGGGCTAATAATGCTGATATTATTTATTGATTAGATTTATTAATAATTTTTACACTTTCAATAATTTTACTTTCTGAAAAAAAAATTAAAAGCATGTAATGAAAATTGCTTTATAAGCTTACAATATATGATCATAAAGACAAAATAATAATAATATGTGAAAAAGTGTATGTTTAATTCTAAGGTAAGCTCTTTGTCAGTATTTGTGGATTTCCAAGGGGCCTATGATACTATTTGAAGAAAAAGTCTCCTAAGCATATTATAAGGACAAGTAATAAAAGTGAAAATGCTGGACTGGATTGGAAGATTTCTAACTCAGAGATGAGTTAAGACTACTTGGAACAATGTAGACAGGGTTCATAGCCACATTTTAGTTAAAAAAATAAGCACCTATAAGCACTTTTCAAGCACATTTTAAGGAAAAAATAAGTACCTGTCTAATTACATTATACACAACTGCATAATCTTAAAAGAAAAATTAGACTTGTAATTTAAAATATGAGCAATGCAATATTTATTAAGAGAATGAGCATTACCTCAACAATGGAAAACAACTTTTTTTTTAATTTTAAATGACAGTTCAATTTACAGAATTAGTTTATAATGAGAGAAAAAAAACTATGCAGAACTAAACTATATTACAAAAATTAATGAATATTTCAGTTGAAAATATAGAAAAAAATAAATAATATAAGCCATATTAATTGTATTCGTTTGGCACCTAATAATAAATACAATTTATTTTTCCACTCGTATTAATATTTAAATAATTTAACTTAAATCAAAATTCTGAACATTTTCTAAATTTTCATTGCATAACAGTTTTCCCTTAACATATATCCCAAACAAAGTAATTTAAGTAAAAAAGAGGCACATTTCTGAAATCAGAAGACGGGAAATTGCTTCAGTCATCCTTTAACAGTAAAAGCTTAACTAACCCGCATACTCGGAAATTCCCGAATATTCCGGATAGTAACTGGAAAAAGAGCAGCGGTGGAGATAGTAGCCGTTCTTTAGATTTAAATTTAGGCTAAATAAATTATTTTGACATTTCGATATGTGCATCATATAAAAACCAACGGAACTGAGAAATATTCTGCTTAGCAAAGCACAGTAAAACTCTTTTCAAGTGTTCATAAACAAATCTCAGAGATTGAACATCAAAATGAATTACCTCAATGCAAAATATACCGCAAATGTTATTGCGCAATATACGTGCGTCGTAATTCTTCGCGATATGTGATATGCAATTCGGAATCAACACCTGCTGTATGGTATTCGGAGAAAAAAGAACTAAGATAAAGGGAAAAAAAAGAGACTTAACTAATCTGGGGTGTTTTTCATTCTAATTTTCAACAGACTGTGTTAAATTTCCGGAATAGAATCATTCTTCGCTTGGGTTGGTAGACCCGCAAAAAACTTTGAGTCCTATTCAATCCAGATTGGACAGTGATAAAAAAAAGTCCGCTGCTTCAATATTACAGATTTTGAGGAGAAACTCCCAACCTCCGTACTGTATAATGTATTGGAAAAGAAAATGAAATTATTTTGACTATTCAATTACTTTCCTTTTATTTAAGCCATTCCGAATATTATTTCTTAGAAAGCTAATCTGTGTAAAAACACACCCATTTTTGGAAGTTTATCTATACTTCAGCAGTTACTGCAACTATATTATTAAAATATTCATACATATGCTCATAATATAAGTATAACGATCATCATAAACACGAAAATGAAACTGACTACGCGGAAAAAAAAAAAAAGAATGCAAATTATTAAAATCTTGGTAGAAATTCAAAACGTGTGGTAGTATTGGTTGGGAGGAAAAGAATACCGAATGTACCGGAAATTTTCTACGTTTTCGCAATTCTTTGGCCAATAGAACGACATGCACCTGTCTGTACTCTCGCGCGTACCATAGGTTAACGTTATAATGCAAGAGGAAGGGGGGGGGAAAAAGAATTTTTTCGGGAGTATGATTCACCATCTGACATTGCAATATAAAGGAAGAGAAAAGTGTTTATTTAGTTTCGGCTTTGGTACGGGGAAAAAATGCGCGTTCATTAAAACAAAGGATTAAAAAAAAAAAGCACTAAAAGCAAGAAATAAGCACTAAAAACAAAAAAATAAGGGTTTTAAAGAAAATGTAAGCACCTATAAGGGCCTTTATATTTTATTTTCAAATATAAGGACTTAAAAGCACTTGTAAGGACCGCTACAAACCCTGGTAGAGTCCAAATAAGGCAGTCTAAGATCGGCCTCCCACAGGATTCAACAAGCAGCCACACACACTCTTCAACATTTATGTTCATGATCTCATCAAGAGATTGAAAGAGGCTGAAGATATTCAAGTAAGCATGTTTGCTGATGACCTAGTAATATGAATGTAAACTAAAAACTGTCGAAATTATCAAAGACAGAAACAGCAACTTGAGAGTAATATGAATAAAGCTCTGAAGACCCTTCAATCTTAACCCATGGACAATCACAAGATTATTAATAAATCATAAACTATGGATCAATCTTTTACTTTGAGACATGTTGTACCTGACTTTGATATGTATTTGAATAACACAAAACTAAAGTAGCAGGACAAAATACATCGGGATTATAATGGACAACAAGTTAAATTTTTCAAAGTATATCTTGCACACTGTGACTAGAGTCAAAAAAAGATTGCCTATCTTAAAGAGACTGGACGTTGCAAAATGGAGTTGCACCCAGGATACTCTAAATCTCACAAAACCTATATAAAACCAGTTCTTAAATATGGCAGTGAAATTCTGGTTTCGGCTGCACAGACTAAGTTGGAAATCGTGGAGAGAGCCCAGAATAAAGCTCTCTGCTTGATCACAAGAGTAGAAGTGTCAACTCCTATAGCAACTTTACAATCGTATACTTCAAACCCTCCTACTGCTGCTGAGATTAAGAAACACGTAGTTTATAAAACTGTTCGATTGAAAGCATCTCAGCAAGCAAATTAGATGTCAAATAGTGACAAATTACATTATCAGAACTCAAACTTCTCCAATCACGATCTGTGAAGGTCTTTCAGGTGATTTAAACCTCAATATTTCTGTTAAACCTGTTAAAAATACTAATATACCTGTAGACCTGGTGGAGTTTTTGAAAATACCCTATAAGGCTGGATGAAAATAGAAAAAAGACACACTAGATACTATTATAAAAAAAAAAAAAAATGTTTTGTCACTATTGGGCAATAACTATCCTGAACCAGAAGACATATGTGTATTTACAAATGGCTCTAGAATGAATAATGCTGCTGGTGCAAGTGTATATTGTAAACTGTTTTCACCATATGCCCAATGGGTCAACATTTTTCAAACTTTGATGCAGAAGTTCATGGAATCTTTTTGGCTGTGTCTAATTGGAAATCTAGAATTGAGATTTTTAGAAAGGCCATCATTCTTGTTGATTTTAGGTTCGTCATAGAAACAATAGCTCTTCAACACCACTCTGAGCCTCCTCTCGTATCAAAAATGAAACGAGATATCAGGAAACTATACAGGAATGGTAAAACTAGAATTCATTGGATACCATCTTACATAGATATTGATGGTAATGAAAAAGTAGATCTATTGGCAAAGAGAGATACGGAGTTATTTATTGAACAGAGTTCCATTCCTTTGGATTCCCTTAGAAGTACTCGAAATAATCTTATGTCAGCTTACAACACAGAACTATCAATTAAATCGAAGAGTAAACTTTGAGAGAATATCAGGAATGACTGGAATGAGATCAATCCCAGGCCACGTAGAGAGGCTGTGGCTAATTTCAGACTGGGTATGGGGCACAATTGCTTAGCCGAACATCTCAGCAGAATAAGCATGCCAGGTGCCAGGTGCACTTACTATTGACTAATAGTAAGTGCCCATTCATAAAACAGACCCTATGAATAAGCAGCACTTGCTTGTCTGTCCAGTCCCTGACCCTAAGTTACAACATACTGGTGATGTTCTTCTGCTGTACTGGACGAGCAGAGATCTTAT